TTCCTGCTCTGTGGGCATTGGATTCCCCAAGTCTTTAATTGTTTACATAATGATACTAATTTTTTTTCAGTGAACCAGCTCAGTTGTAATGTCATATTATGATTCATTTGAATGCTTAACCAATAGTACAAGTGCATTTTTAATGGATTTTTTTTAAGTGACAGGTTATGTTTAAAACCAAAACCAGTATCAAATTGACCATATCTAACATCCCAGGTTTGCTTAAGATTATTCTTCTTTTTGGGGGGCAGGGGGGTATGTTTTTTTTTCTGGATTTTGTCTGTAAACTCCAATTTGACTTAAGATAATTTTAAAGGGGGAAGCAAACTCATTTGAATTTTTTTTTCTAAAGTCTCCTCCCACAACTATCTCATTTTAGGTCTGAAAGCTAGTAAGTCCATTGCTAACCCTGTTGATTGAAAGCAGGTAAAAGAAAAGCAAGGCAGAAACCCTGAAATGTATTTTGACAGCAATGGGAAAAAGCTAGTTTGGAATTCCATTTTGCTAGGTGTGATTTCCCTTCAAGTGTAAAATTTCTTCTTTAAGCACTCTACTGTAATTCACATATAAATATAATAAACACTAACAATAATGAAGCTGAGCTCTCCTTACCGTTCTTTGACTTGCTCAGGAAATGGGAGAAGTATAATTTAATTAAATGAAAGACATCAACTCTTGCAAGCTATAAACTTCTTTCTTTAGAAGCTGGCAAACAAATGAGCTAGTAAAGGGAGAAGAGCAGGCAACAAGTCCCCTAATATGCAGAGCTGATCTGAATCAGCTGTGCAAATGTGCCACCTCTCTATATAATTTCTTAGGTGGCCCCTTGACTGTTTGAACAAGAGAGTATCTTGGAAGACTGCTACAAAATACAGGTCCTTTCTATCATTATTCTTTTTCACCATAGGATTGGAGCCATTTGCAATAAGATTTGCTAACGAAGTCAGGCTAAGCGGGTGAGTTCAAAACTGTGATATTTTGCCACTGAGTAATAAATCCATGGGAATTTTTTTCCAGGGGTCCCTCTCTTCTCCTCTCCTGCCTGTTTTCATGAACCACTGAGTACTGGTGATTTCAGCGGGAACTGAAGGTTCTCAGTACTTCCCAAGACCAGACCGTTGGTTAGTAAGACTTGAGCTCTGAGTAGTCTGATTGTGTGCATACTTTCAACTTTTATTACGTTTCCACTGCTTTTTGATTTACTCCTTCACTATGAAGGGATGAAGTGTTGGTCTTTTAATTTTGTATTCTTACAGAACTCAGTACTACAGGGTCCTGACCATAACTAGTGCTTCTAGGCACTATGATAATACAAGCAAAATAGTAACTACAGTATCTAGTGTTCACCATTAAGACTATTCTCTTGATTGTATTCGAACTTGAAGGTTCCCTTGAGGTTGCAAGGTCAGAGTCCTTTTTAGAGACCCATGCCCATTTATACTAGAAATAGTTCTCCTTTCACATTTAATGCTAGTTACCTGTTGCTGTTCTGTGTAGAAAGTTCCTATTTTGCACACTGATTAGTGATATCAATTATTTGTTCACATAGGAAACCCAATTTTCAAATGTAGGCAGCTAAATGGATCATTGCATTCAAATGGTATCAACACAATCAATGTTTGTTGTGTGTGCGCGTGCGTGTGCATGGTTAGATACTTTATATTCCTGAATGCAGAATTTTTAGGCAACAAGTTTAGGAAAAAGGGCTGTTTGGGGAAAAACCTTCTACAGCGCATACTTTTTGATATCAACTTTCTGTTCACCTGTACAACCTCTTTGATCTTCAATGCTAGCTGCAGCCATGAAGAGAACGTCTATGGTGGAGACAATGCCACCAGCTTACTGTAACTTATTATATAATGATTAAAAGGCAGATTCATTTCAGGTCTGTTCAGCAGTTTTTGCTTCAGGAATGCTTGAATATGTGTAGTTTTCATTTTCAAAACTGTTGATGTGCAGTGCTTAGTTTCATTCCAGTCTGTGTAGCCAGCTATACAAAAAGCATGCACCAAATGCCTTTCTGTTAGTAGAAAAGGTTGAAATGTACAATTCTGTAATTTTATCAGAGGGTTATATATATCTAGCAATTCCTTTGAGTTGCAAAAGCCAGCATAAGTTCTGTTTTTCTAACGCTTATATACAGGCATTCAGAAGCTCCTTAACACAGTTTAACAAGGCATATATTTGTGTGATCTGTGGGTGAATAAGTTTCCAGACCACCAAACATTTTTCTGAAATTACATATTTCCTTTTACATTATTGATACATAGAACAGATTCAAGGAAATACTTCAAGCAGATGTAAATTCCTTTGGAGGCCATCTGAATTAGCAAGAGTATAACCAGGCAAACAAAATATAACCATTTTATCTTTTCGTTAAACTGTTTAGTAAAAATCCTGGGTTTTGAGACTGCTCCAAAATAGGTGATGGATTAAGTATATGCTGAAATAGGTTGATCTGAGATTACAATCCACTATTACATAATACATTGTGAAGTCTTAAGAGGCTGGGATGAGCTCTTGTCAGATTTCCTACATGTCATAGACCACAGGATTTCACCAAGCGCATCAAAATTGTAACTTCTAGTTTAGCTAGGTGATTTTAGAAAGAAATTCAATCTTGATTTAGTCTTCAGGGCTAAGTCCAGACAGTCAAAAGGCTTGAGGCTAAATCGATTCAGTTTTTGCAGGTTAGTAGTCCAAGATGCAGAGATTAAATTGAGAAACAACTGGACACACCTTTACTTTTGATTCAGGAAATTCAGCCACATGCCTGCAGTGGCTCAGGCCAAAAGTCAGGGGGTGCTAGAGCATGGCTCTCTGGCACATAGACAGCATGGGATGTGTATTCACTTCCTCTTCCTGCTGCCCCCAAGGTCTCTGGGATTTTTGGTCCAGAATCACAGTAACAGGACTCTGCAGAGTTGATCATCACTTATTCTTGCTTCCAGGTGCCTCTGGAACTTGTAGCCCACAGTCGCAGCCAGCAGTAACTTTCAGTAAGTTTAGCAGGGCATGGCAGTTCTGTATGCAGGGGAAGCAGGGTTTAGCCAGGGGAAGGGGGATTTAACCGCACCCCCAGCCCCAGCCAGGGTTTGTTTGGGGCTGGGGTGGGGAGGAAGTCCCTTCTCTGCTAGAGCAGACAGCACAGTCCAGCCCAGGGCTGGAAAGCATGTTGGGATGCTGGCGGACTCTGATTTAACTTAAACCAGGATGGGCTGTGACAGAAGTTTCATAAACCAGTTTGACCCAAATCAGTTAAGTCTGATACTACATTCAGCCAGGTTTATCTTAAACCAGTTTCAGCCATTTTGAAACTGGTCTATGTGCACTGAACTTCTATTTTGTTACAGGTTTAAACCAGTTTCTGATGACTTAAAACAGTTTGTGTAACTTCTGTCCCCAACCCATATGATGGGGAATCTATCACATCCCTTAGGGAAATGCTTTAACATTATTTCTCTTCACTATAAAAATCATGTGCCTTATTTCTAGTCTGAAACCATCTAGCTTCAGCCTCCATCCATTAGATATCATATGCCTATCTTCCCTTTTCATGGTGATCACTACGGATGACTGGTGCCTCCTGAATCGGGGAGGGGGGGGTACCAGATCACCAGTGGGGGAGGTGGGGGTTCCTCCATGGCTGATCACCGAGCCAGTAGTGAAACCGTAAGTGCACTTCCCACTATGCATCGCCAATGATGATCACCTCTGGATGTTTAAAGTTTGAGGGAGTTTTTTTCTGTTGTGTTGTTTTGTTTTTGTCCAGACTTTCATTTTTTTGTGTTCTAATAATTGCAACTTCCTTTTCTCTGCTCTTGACAAT